AAACTTTAAAACAACACCATATGATTGCATTGTGATTTATTTGTGTGTGTCTTTAATATAAAAGCAAAACACAAAACAAAACAAACCCCCAAAACAAAAAGGTTAAAAAAACAGATGAAGAGCAGGTTGTATTTTTGTATATTTAAAAATGCGTACTTTTAAATGCATACTATATTTAAAAATGAACACTCCACTTTCTAAAAATAACGGTAATAATAATAAAAAAAGATGTTTCACTCAGGCTTGGAAATCAATACCGAAGGGGACGTTAAGCGTAAGCATAAAGTTTATATCTGTTAAGGCAAATTAGAAAGAAACCAAATGAATGAAGTATCATTCCCAATTTCTCCAATTGTAAAAAATGTGTTCTCAACTTTCTGTTTTACAGCTTCAGCTTAACACTGGAGTGTTTACATGGCTTATTATTATTTTTTCCCCTTCTGGCTGTTAACACAAAGCAGTTCTGCCATCTTTAGGCAATTTATGTAATCTATGGAAAGATTAACTGCAAGAAAAATATTAGACAAACATAAACTGCTTCCAATCCGTCCTTTTTTAAAAGTCTCCCCTGTATCCAGCACTGTTTGTTTCAGTGAGCAAGAAAAATAAACTAAAAAAGATGTGCACATTACAGTGCAATGCACATTCAGGTATTTTGCACCATCGTTCTTACCTTTCTGTGGGTGAGAAGGAAAAAAAAACTTGAAAATGCAATACTTGATTTATATGGGAAGTTTCTGTAACCCTGGAACATCTGATGGCAGCCATCATGTGTGCATAAGAAGGACTCATTCCTTGCAGTGATACATATATTTTATTGTCCACTGATGCGTTTATAAAAGGAGCTTGATATTCTGATACAAAAGCAATAGATGCAAATATACCGGCATCAATCAAGCATGACATTTCACAGCCTGAGCTCACTGATATTCTAGTGAGTAGCCAAGCAGCAGAAATGCATGAGTTTAGGCTAAAGGCCTCTGCACAGATTTTGCATTTGCAAGACTTACCCCCTGGATTTTTGGTGAGTCCCTGGGTAAGATTCCTTCATATTTATCTCTTGGTACCTTTTCTACTTATGGTATTACCTGTAGCAACTTCCAAAGGTGCGTTTGCAGATATTCTGGGCTACCTATCAGTTATATAATAACCAAAATAACCTATTTGTAAGTTCATCATGATAAGGACCACCTAGCCCTCAATCTTCTGAGCACCAGGGACCGGTTCCATGGAGAGAGGTTTTTCCGTGGACTGGAGGAGCTATGGTTTCATGGGCTGCCTGCATCCTGTGGACGGGGCTTCGCTTGTTTGCTCAGTCCATTTTCTGGTATAGACCGAGGGTTAGGGACTCCTGATCTACCCTTTTCTTCCTTCATCACTTTTGCTTTTGTTCACTTCACAAGACGGCGGAAAATAACAAGGCAATCACAGTTTATAAACAAGTTGCACCTATTTATGCCTCTTCTGCTAGAACTGGTGCTTGTGACTCTTCCATTAAAGCAAGGTTTCTCAACTTTGGCAATGTTAAGACACATGGACTTCAACTCCCAGAATTCTCCTTGAATTTGGGGAGTTAAAGTCCATGTGTCTCAATGTTGTCCAGATTGGGAAACCTTGCATTAAGGACATGTAGACCAGGGGTGAAATCCAAATTTTTTCCCTATCGGTTCTGTGGGCATGGCTTGGTGGGCGTGGCAGGGGAAGGATATTGCAAAATCTCCATTCCCACCCCACTCTGGGGCCAGCCAGAGATGGTATTTGCCAGTTCTCCCAACTATTCAAAATTTCCGCTACTGGTTCTCCGAACTGCTCAAAATTGCCGCTACCGGTTCTCCAAACTACTCAAAATTTCCGCTACGAGTTCTCCAGAACCTGTTAGAACCTGCTGGATTTCACCCCTGATGTAGACTCTAGAGTGGAATTTCCATTTTGAGAATCTGGTTCATTATTAAAGCATATGAGAGACATAAGAAAATTGAGAAGAAATCTTTTGCTTGCAGGCTTTCTCTAGTTCCCATCGTTTTATTCAGAAAGGAAGGGATTAATGATACAGCCTAGAATAAGAGGAACAAAGCTGTATCTTGCAATACAACCATTTCTTCATCACCCAGTTTTGTGAAATATTATGAACAGAACATTATAGCTACTCTAACAGAACCCAAACAACTTACTATTTATTCTATGCAAATCAACAGGTCAATATGTAACATATTATATACCTACAAAGAGGTAAATACATAATATGTATCCCCTGATTTGCTTCTCTGTCTTTCTCTTTTAGCCCTTTCAGGCTAGGTTACTCAGTGTGGAATTAGAAATGTGGGTCTAAAACGATATAAAACTGAAAGAAGCTACTTTTAATCATATGCTTGGTTTAGCCTAAAGCAATAATAAAAAAGAACAAACCTGGTGTAATAGCTAATTTTGATTTCTTTTATCTAATTTGGAATTTTCTTAAGAATTCTGAAAGCTATCTATTTTTTAACTCAATTTCCCTTTACTTAATTTTACTCTCTCCTCTGAAAAAAATATAATTTCCCTGAGTAAGTGGCAAGGATCTTTACTGGTGGCAAAATATATATTTAAAAAAAACAAGGATATGAGATGTATATTTATGAATAATTATGAAAAACACTAATACTAACAAAAGAAATTCTGTAGGATGAAGGTCTTATTGATCAATCTTCTTGACGTCATCAGTTTGGGATTGAAATGCGGCAAGAAAAAAAGATAAATTAAAATTTCCAGAAGTTGCATTTTGGGCACCCTGGAAAGGTAAAGACAGAGCAAATGGAATGACTGAAATAGAAAATGCACAACTTCAGGAAAGAATGTTGGGAAAAAAATTAAATGAAACTCTTAGTCCACTCATAAAGCTAGGAGAGGCCACCCAATTACTGCATAACATCCTTGGGCAAGCAACCTAGAAAAATACATTGATGTTACTTACCTGACCTAAATTACAATTGTGCTCTACAATTTGGAACATGAAATGGGCTTCTCCTGAAACTTTCTTCATGCCCTTGAGTTTAAAAGACATAGATGCTATTTTAAGAGCCAAATGCTGCAGCCATCCAACCAGTCAGTCAAACTGCCAATTAATTCAGCAAAAGTTTTCATTGTGTAATGTATATTTGCAACGAAAAAGGAAAATATGAAATCAACATCCTGTATCATGCCATGTTTTAATTCATACTAAAATGAAGACCAAGCTTTGCTGGAGTTACGTATGAAGTTAAGTAAAGTCCAAGTTATGCACACATGTAAAAACAGAGGAAGTTAATTTCATTGTTTTCAAAGATGATAAGTTTCTACAGATATAGTATGTTAGTAAACAAATATTTCCATTACAATCAGAATACAGCAAACTAGTCCACCCAAAAAAATATTCCAGAAAACTATGAATAGTTTGAGATATTTCAGATTAATCAGCCTTGTCAAATGAACCCCCCCCAAAAAACCCCCAATGAATACATGAATAAATAAATAAATAAATAAATTAAAAAAAAAACCTAAAATGAAATAAAATTAAGGGCTGATTTATCCAACTTCACTGACCTGGTGAAATCTGTCATAGAAATTAATCTAACTGGATTTTTTTTTAATCCAAATGTCTCAGCAGTTCAACAATTTATGCCCAAAAGGATATAGGTAAGAATATTAGTATTAGTATCTTACATTTTTTTGTGCACATTAAGATAATGTAGGGACCCTGACCTAACAGATGAATTCATACATTAAATTGTAGGAGGATAATCCAATTCAAAAGTATAATTTATGTGAACCGATTTCTTCCAATTTCCCCCCCCTTGTTAAATTTCCAAATCCAGAATTGGAGATTTTCCAAGATTTCTGGAAAAATACTTCCCAGACACAAGTGCAAAAAATACTTTTATCTACCAAGATACTAAATTGCTACTGGCTATAAATCCACTAGCTAGTTAACCAATTAACTAAACTGTAAATGTAACTAAATTGCATCATGTTAATTTATAGTTATAATGCCTTGGGTATAACAGATACATGTTCCCAAGACTTTACCTTAAATTGACTAGGAGGAAAGTTCTATACTGGTATAGTATTTGCTGGGATAGGATCACATATTCATATATACGTCCCATACTACCCTTATGGACCCATGCAATGTCCTTTGCCAGCAATTCCTGTGCTATTGAGATTGCTACAGAATTAGAGAGTTGTTGGTCAACAACTAGCCATCATTAAGCCCTTATACTTCAGATGCTGCTGTTCTGGGGGCTGGCAGAAAGAGACCTACTTCTTGACTGTTTCCCAAAGATGCTTTTGTTTTTCCTTGAAGATGTTTCATTTCTCATCCAAGAAGCTTCTTCAGTTCTGAAAAAGCACCTTTGGGACAACCATGACCTGGATGACCAAGAATGTAAAACAATAGAACCTACACAGAACAGAGAACCCGAAAGTGGCCATGATAAGACAACTTTAGTAAGGTAGGAATGGACAAGCAAATGGAGAAGAGGTAGATGATGGCCATATCTAACATAGTGAAGGGCTCAGCCTATTCCCTTTCTAAAACAAGGAGATTGGTAGACTTATAACTTCCCTCCTTTCATCCCACTTTGAATAGTCTTTAATGCCTAATTATTAGCTGTTCGTTATTTTGACTTGTTAGTAATCAATTTTTATAAAAGGCCTTTTTATGAACGATTGTCCCCAAAGGAGGGGTTTGTTCCAAAAATACTGAAAAGGAGAGTGCAACAATGAAAAAAACGGGCAGAACAAGTTAGGAGTTGGAAAATTCTGGAGTCCATAGATCAAGTATTGCATTTTAGGTTTTCCTCTGCATTTTTATGGAATAACTTTTTTTTCCTTGATCCTTTGCATACATTATGAAAAATTCTCATATCCAAAAGCTATATGAAATACATAATCTGAACCCTTCTCTCTCCCCCCCCCCCCGTAGCTATGAACAAGCCACTTTTAAGTCCGAACTGTTTGGTTTGATAAGAATACGTTTTACTTACAAAATTGAGAAATGGGGGCATCTAGCTGGGGCACATTTCCTCCTTTAGCGTTAAGCTTCTGAACTTGAGTAGGTGGCACAGGTTTGTGAGACTGGCCGGTAGCTCGGTACATGGCTTGGACCCAGAGGATACGATCCTGCTCATCATCGCTGGCAAAAATCACCGTGTCTCCTTCTTTCACTGCATTGAAAAATGCTCGGCCGCCCTCCAAACCTGAGAGATATCAGAAAGCACTCATTTAGAAAAAGCAGAATTTGACATTCAAGCTCATGGATTCCCCCAAAACAAAAGATGCAGTTATGGTTGCTTAAGGAGACCTTCGCATTAAAAAAAAAAAATTCTGCAAAGTCTCCCTAGGATACAGATACAGATTAACAGAGTTGGAAGGGATTTTGTAGGTTATCTAGTCCAAACCTGCCCGCCCACCCAAGCAGGAGACCCTACACCATTTCTGACAGAAAGCAGTCCAGTCTCTTTTTGAAAGTCTCAAGTGATGAAACTCCCACAACTTCTGAAGGCAAGCTGTTCCAGTGATTGTTCTCACTGTCAGAACATTTCTCCTTATTTCCAGGTTGAATCTCTCCTTGTTCAGTTTCCATCCATTATTCCTTGTCTGGCCTTCGGGTGCTTTGGAAAATAGCTTGACCCCCTCCTCTCTGTGGCAGCCCCTCAAATATTGGAATACTGCTATCATGTCTCCCCTGGTCCTTCTCTTCAGTAGACTAGCCATGCCCAATTCCTGTAACCGTTCTTCATATGTTTTAGTCTCCAGTCCCCTAATCATCTTGGTTGCTCTTCTCTGCACTCTTTCTCCAGTCTCAACATTTTTTTAATAGTGTGGTGACCAAAACTGGATGAAGGACAAGAAGGGGTAGGAGCTGCAAATTGAAGGAGGGCTGCAATCCAGAAGATCTGCTTCTGGAATAAGGACTTTTGCAAAGGATTCTTTAAATTCAAGCCAGAAAGCATGAATGCTATGGTGGGCTAGAATTTACCTAGCTACTGAATTCCATGATTTTTAAATAGTGTCAGGAGAATGACTTTCTTTTGCTTACCTGGAATCTTTCATTCTTTATCTGAGAGCAATTTTGCGGTAGTTTTGTAAGAAACAGAGAATGTCTCTCCACTATTTTTTGTATAACTTGCATAACTTTAAATGAGAACATTTATCCTTTTCTAATGATCACCCTACCCAAAATTTGTCTTTTGTGTTTTTCCCTCTGGGCTAATATCTTCATTAAAGTATTAATGAAGTATCAAGAGCTATGGTGGTGCAGTGGTTAGAATGCAGTATTGCAGGCAAACTCTACCAACTGCCAGGAGTTCGATCCCAACCGGCTCAAGGTTGACTCCACCTTCCAAGTTCAGTAAAATGAGGATCGATGTTGGGGGCAATATGTTGATTCTGTAACCCATTTAGAGAGAGATGTAAAGCATTATGGAGAGGTATATGAATGTGATTGCTATCAAATCACTCTATTTCAATATTCCACATTCATTCAGTCATGTTTAGCTCAGATCCCTTAGCATACAATATGTGTGAAGTTAGGGGGTTTTTTTTGCCTCACATACTGTAAAACTATATTTGTCACTTCAGTGTTCAAACTAAGATAATTTTAAAGGTATTTGCAGCCCTTTGGTGCCATCAATTAACTTATCCATGTCATTGCTAATCTTTAATTCCAGTTCATTTAGGAATAAATCAAGAGCACTAATCTAAGTACAAATCCTTGGAGAGACCCAACGGTTTAAAACTCTACATCATTAAATAATCCCATTTACCAGTATTTTATGTTGTCTGTTTTTTAATCTGTTACTTCTTCATAAGAATCACAAAATAATTTATCTCATGAATCCTTGGTGAAAGATTTTTTGGGTCAATGCTTTCTGAAACGAAACAAATATATTGGATTTCCCTATCACTCCTTTTTTTCTGATATTGGTAAAGGATAGTAAAAGGTTTGTGATGCAGGTCTTAGCTTTACTGAACCCTTACTGAAGCTGTTCAGTCCACGTTTATCCAGAATAATGTTTTTCACCAATATAATCAGTAAACTGGTTTGTAATTTCCTGAATTCTGCCCTTACTCCCCAAAGATTGGTAATTCACCCTCTACTATCCATTATACTGGTAAAAAAAAAAACATATTCTAGGGATATGTTTATAAATTCCTTCCTTTAAGGTTGAGACCACCTGATTGTTGTGTTACGCAACACAAGCATAATTAAGCATAATCATCTTGATCATTTAATTCAGAAGCAACATAATTAAACAGTCTGCATAAAAAACATACAGAAACTTCAGTTAAGCCCATAATCAAGGAAGCCGACTCTCAGCAAACAAGCAAACAAACCTCAGTTTACCATCTTACTTACCAGGTTGTGGGTCTGTATAGTCTACCGTGTATCCATCAAGCTGCAACAGCTCTTGAGGTTCAGCTTTCTTCTCTCGGTAGCTGCACATGGCAAATGTATATTGGCTAACCTGCAGAAGATCATACAGCTTAAGGAACATCAAGTGATGATGGAAGAATACTTCCAATTGGGAACCTTTGCAAATGGTTCTATATTTACCTTCAGCTAAATCTTTCCATAGGTTATGATCTATTTTAACAGACCTGTTTAATAGATAATATCTAATAGATGATTCCTGTAATATAAAATCTCAAGATTCTTCTGAAAAGAAGGAAATAGTAGGACACTACAGTCAATATCCTACAGGTGTATTTAAACAAACTTACAAACTTCTAATCAGCAAATGCAGAACAATCTCTTAGGTTGAGTATAATCTTATCTCTTGGGAATTGGGTTAGAAATACTAACCCAATTCCCAATACTATCAGTATGATATAAAGATACAAAAACTGGGAACTTGCAGAAATGTCCTTCACCTGCTATATTATTGAAATACACTTTCAAAGGATGCACTTAACATATAACCTGTCATTATACTTGAAAATAAATTACATCATGGAGGTGTCAGAGAGACATCATTGGCTGCAGCTATATATTGTATCAACATTCTAAAAAAAAAAATCCAAGCTTGTTATTACATACTAAAACACCTAAATGGAATTCTAATTAAAAAAATTGGCAGACATATAATGTTTTTGTCTCAATTAAATATTAGTGACTTTCTCTGTCCCTTTACTATTGCTAAACCACAGTGGTACTATCTGTTTAACACTATCAAATAGAATTCATAATGTTATCCAAGCATCCTTATCAGAGTTTATATCAACCTCATGCTAAAATACTAAAACAAACTTGAGGAACCAAAGATCTGGATTGGGATACAATGAATGTCCCAACAAACTATGGTATAGTTCAGTGGTGGGTTGCCCTTGGTTTGGACTGGTTCACAAGAACCAGTAGTAAAATCGGCGGGAGGCTCCGCCCACCGATCAGGATGTCATCATAAGTGATCTGCGCATGCACAGAAGTACGTGCGCGCACGCAATGCGAACCGGTAGTAAAGGTAAGTAGAACCCACCCCTGGTATAGTTGATCAAGAATAAACACTTTTCTCTCTTCCTTTTTTGTACACCTTAATGCAGAATCTTAATGTTGAGTATCAGAATTGGTAAACAGTGATTTAAATACTGCATGTGAATTAGTACTATAGCATCTAACCCAAGTATTCAACTGCATACTTATGAAACTGCAACCAAGGAAAGGGTATGGGTAAACCTTTAGGGCCAAGGAATTGCAATTCACATTCCATGATCATAGAGAGGTATTAGTTACTTGTAATGTTATTGGAATGGGGGAGGGAGGGGAACCAGGTGAACCAATGAGTCAGTTTGATCTAGTGGTTAAGGCAGCAGGTTAGAAACTGGAAGCTATGAGTTCTAGTTCTGCCTTACCCATGAAAGCCAGCTGGGTGTCTTTGGGCCAGTTACTCTCTCTCTCCCTCAGCCCAACCAACCTTACAGGTGGTTATTGTGTGGAAAATAGGACAAGGAAGATATGCGGGGTACATTTGCAGCCTTGGGTTTTTGGTAAAAATACTAAAGGTGGGAAATAAATAAATAATTTAAAATAATTTAAAAAGGTAAAACTAATATTTTAACCTATTTTTCCAGAGGAAAACGCTTGCACTTCCATTCCTGCTCTTACATTACAAGTTCAGCGGAAAAGGGTGCCTCAAAAACAAAACAGACTTTTACTGCACTAATTTTGACCCCAAATAGAAGAGGGCGAGGGTGGGATGTCAGTAAAAATGGGCACGCTTCACTTGCCGCGTGGTCTTGCGCTTCCATTTCCATCTTTACTTTTCCATTTTCTTTTAAAATGGAAAAGGTGTAGTCAAAATTGAGTTTCCTTGCCATTGAGTTTCAATGACTAATCCGCGAGAGACATAAATAGGATGTTGTTAGTCGCATGAGCTCCATGGGTTGTCTGTGCCTGAGCTTGGATTCCAGAAAATTAAATCAGACTTTGTCTACCAACACTTGAGATATGGCTCTAATTCTCTCTTTCCTTACAAAATGATGAAATTCACCATAGACGTTCTAACCATCCCTCGTGATATCTAGTAGAAATGAGCTATCTAAACTGATAGGTATGGTTTCTCCGTTGCCTCGGTTGATATATAATCACTCTATAGTTCTTGTGTAACTGACCCTATTGGGTTATCCCCATTCAACAACAAGGACAAGTCAGGACTTTGTAGAATGTTATTGGAGACAGCACTAGCAGAGTAAAAAAGAATATGATAGAAAAATAATAATAATACAATTGACATGGGCTTTTTTAAAAAACAGTCTTTAACAAGTATTTGATAGTGAGCTGTCAACTCAAAGGCTCACAGCTTTTTTTTTTTTTTAAAGATAGCTATTGTCCAAAAAGAGGAGCGTGCATCCTTTGAAAACTCTCATCGTTCATTTCACATAATGTCAGACTGACACTCTGTCAGAAACAATGTGAGCTAAATTGCTGGTTAGCAATCATATTAAAGCAATCCCAAAGCCCCCATAGTTCTATATAGTTATTGTCACTGATCTTGTAAATGGTAGCTTTCACTCCGCCATCGATGTGCATGACATGCCACATTCAATGTCAAATACTTGATGGCAGTCTTCATTGGCTGTGAGGGAATTTGACATCGCCTTTAGGTGCCCATCAGGCTGCATTAAGACACAGCTTGTACTTAATATATTGTCTTTTTAAAAATCAGGATAATCTAGGAGAAGGCAGTTGGAAAGCCAGGGATTCTCCTGTGCTCTGGGCTAGGAATAGGGAAATTTATTGTCAAATGATTGAAAAATGCCTCTGTTAAGGTTGTGTCACATTCCGGATTCCTTGTAGTCTTATATTGGTTTAGACATTTCCTCGACCTCTGGAAGAAACTTTATTTTTCCTTAAAACTCTTGCATTAATGGATGATGTTAGTCATTTTGGGGGAATCAGGGAAGGAGGAGAAAAAGGCTAGGATGTCTCCTCTCTGAAATTTTAATGTTATTAGAAATGTTTTGGACTTTTTGCTGTTAATTAATTAATGATGCTTATCCTTCTTCAGGGTTCTGCTTGCATCTGTATCCATATCTAGTGTAACCTCTAGATCTAGGGTTGCAAGATTAATCTTATTTTGATTCCCTGACCATTAGAAAGCAAGAGGAGGCAGAATTATTGCCCTGATACTCTAGCAGAACCAAGCAAGCAAGCAAATCACCATCTCTGGCTTGCCTTTGACTGAAAAGAGGAGATAGAAAGAGGACTGCAAAGAATTGTGACTGGCAGAGACATTCCTTTCCAAGTCTCTCGGGGGTCTTATTCTTTACTTTGGTGACAGAAGCATCTCCAGGGATGGGTCAAAATTCAAATTCAAGATGGTGATGTGATTGAAATTGCACCCTCGGAATTTGGATGATTGTAGGCTGCAAAAACAGAAAAGTCCTTCCCCTTCTTCCTTATCCCAAACTTAAATTTAATCAATGGATTAAATTGATTTTGAAACAGTAGTTTCATAGAAAAGTCCCTTGAATGAATCCCAAAAAGTTGTCTTTGTCCAAGTTCCGCTTTTTCCAAATCATTTCTTTTTAAAATCCTCACAGCTCTATGTTTTCCTATAAACTAAAACTAGGACATAACTGGAATGCAATGCTACAGAAGAATTGTACGTTCACAGGAGGTTTCTGAGAGCTTTCAACTCAGCCAAAATAATACAGTGACATGCTGCCCTCCACTGGTATCAAATTTGTATTAACCTTTCCCAAGAAGCTGTCTAGTTTTTCAATCGCTGGTTTCCATATTCCCCCATACAGTAATTCAAAGTTTCCTAAAATCTCTTCAAAAATGTACACAAAGGAAACTTAGTTTGAAGGAAGTGTATTATATCCACTCACATGACTCACTGCCATCTCATTATCAGTATGATTTGTAAACATTTATTATGATTTATAATGAGTTTATCATTATAATTTATTTGAATTTATAAACCGCCCAACTCCAATGGACTTTGGGCATTTCCCTCAAAGATTTCCAAGCTAAGGTGTAATGAGTTATATTCATAAAATATAGTTTGGAATTGTGCCATTCCTTATAATATACAGGTCCCAGTCCATTTCCTTATTTAAACTCAACTATGGGGTAAATCTCTCAGCTATTTGCTGCTCATTTAAATCTCCTAAAGTAGCACACTCAAAACTGGCTGGTTTTCATTCAGTTCATTGTTTGGAACATGCCAACCTATCACTGTTGGAAAAGGTTTTAGAGTAGTGATGGCCAACCTGTAACCCATGTGTTAAAGGTGACACACTACCATGTTTTGGGTGACACGCCAGCATTCATCAAAACTCATTTTCATGCCATTTGAGAAGGCTGTGTGAGGATGGTGTGTGCTCTCATGCAGCCTTTAAAGCCTCCCAAAATTGTGCAAGAATGGGGTGCGCTTTTGTGCAGTTTTTGGAGGTTGAAGAGGGCATAGAATAGCATTTTCTGAAGCTGCTTCAAGAATTAAGGCCTCGTGCGACCTGGAGAAGCCTTGGGTAGGCTGCAGGGGCCTTTCAACAGAAAAAGAACAGCGCCTGATGGTAAGCAGCATGCAGCAGATCCTGAGGAATGCTGGGAATCATGCTGTTCCCCAAGGCTCATGCATCTTGGAGAATGGCACAATATGGCCTTTCTGAGTGGCAGGTGTAGTGCTAGGACTGAGGTTGACTTCAAGACCTGGGTCTTGACTTCAGGCCTAGTCTCACCATTGCTACTGAGTGCCACTGTCCAGGGTGGGCCTAGATGGGGAGGGGGAGAGAGAATTGTTTCTCTTTTGTTTCTGACATGCCAGGAGGGTAAAGTTAGGCATATTCCAAAATTCTGACACAGCAAGCCCAAATGTTTGGCCACCACTGCCCAAGACCAGTAACTGAATGGTTGAACTCATGGCATCATCACTAACCAGCCAATATATGTTTCTGGAGGCACTGTCTGCCAATAAGTGATATGTTGCTGCCACCTCCTGGGTGAACATGGAAATTATTGTTGCTA